GGCTGTAGGAAAACATTCCTTTAATCCTGAAAAGCCTCCTTTGTAGCACTTTCTTGCTGATCACTTGGAGTGGCAGAGTTAATAGAGAATGGGAATTCAAAAGCTTTACTTCTGGAAATGGCTGGTAAGGATGATTGCACTACAAGCCTGACTTTCAGAGGTGCACTTTTTCCCCCCCCTCCCCTCTAAACTTGTACTATCTGATACGTTGTGACCCTGTAAAAGAAGTCTCTGAATCAACTGTTGTTTCTGTGAGTTGTGATTGTGCAGTGCTGTTAGGAATGGCCCCACAAAAATTGTTCTTGCGGTCTCAATGAATAGACTCAGCCTCCTGAACTAAACACAGATGTTAATTTGAAAAAAACATAATGTTATGTACCTAACAAAGTGCTTGGCAAGCTGAAGGAAAACAGAGATTTGTATTGTTATTATTATTTAATATATAAATAAAGGCTTCACTGGACTGAAATTGAATTTCAGCAGCCTTTCTGGAGGCAATTAAAACCATTAGCTTCATCAGCCAAGGCCAGCATTTTAATGTATCTGAAACAGTCAGGCTGCCAAAGTTATTCATCCTTCTCTTAAATGGGTTCAGATTGCATTTAAAGGTGCAGCTTCAACAGCGTTGGCTGAGCCTTAATTTTTCATACCTACCTCTCATTCCCTCTCCCCTCAAGAAGTGTCTCATAAGATACTGTTTCAAGCCTTTGCAGAGGGGTTTGAGGGTGATTTCAGCCAGGCTGATCATCTCATGGCAGGTCTCAGTCAGTTTGATGAACAAGGTAAAAACAGTAAGTCATTGTAAATGACTCTGTGCTACAGACAGTGTGACTGTTTTGTGTTTCTGTAGTCAATTTAGCTTTTTGAATGGGCTGTTTTGCTGTATTGTATATACAGTTGCTCATTAATGTCACATAAACGAGTTTTCTGTTCTAGATACATATTAAACCATTTTTCATGTATAGACTACTGACCAAGTCTTGGAGTCTCAACTGACCTTTTCCAGGTAATCCAGAGATTAAAAGTAATAATATATTTTCATCTTCCTATGCAGTTATGTTTAAACAGAGGAGTTAGATGTCACTCATTTTCTTGTTACTAACAGCATCATAAGGGAAAAATATATATTTGGAGTCTGAGCTGATATCTTTCCAGGATCACTGCTCTGGCTATCCAGTTGCCTGTGACTTTCCAAAATAAAAGCATTGAGCAATGTTACCAACTTCTTTTAGGAATGAGAAAGAGGGTAAAACAATAAGCTAACAGTGCAGATGGGTGTAGCTACTGAGAGTATCAGACCTTTATCCCTGCTGTAAGCAACACTTCATGAAGTTGTTTACCTTACACTTGCAAGGTAAAGGGTGTTATGTTACAGCCTTAACTAAAAGGGTGGGAGTTTTGTGTGAAGTAGGGATTTTTATTTGACTGCTTGTCAAAGCTGAAACCACGATACATCTGTCTTTTAGTGTCTATAATTACTAAAACTCATGACTGCATGAGCTTGTTTCCTAACTTTTCAGCTTGCTGCAGAATAAGAGAACGGCCTCATAAACTCAAAAAAGCAAAGCCTTTTAGAAGAGTAATTTAATGTAGATTGGGACAAGCATGAGAATCAGGCTCATGGGACTACTTCACAGATTGGCCAGTGTTTATTTGGTAATTTTAATGCTGTTTTCTTTAGTAATAGCATTACAGCCTGATTAGCATTTTTATGCTGACTTACAAGATGATCCCAAATTAGTGTTTTATATTCCACACCATGCACAAAGTCTGAACATTTTCAAAAAGCCAAGCTGAGGTAAGATGAAATCAGCTCGTATCAGAGCATTGGAATTTATAGGAAATTGTTTCTTAATTGATGATGCAAAATGCTTTGACAATCCTGGTAATTTCTGAAAAGCTGCATGCTTGTCATCCATTACAGTGTGGACATAAATGTCCAGCTATGCTGTAACAGCTGGGTTGTGAGAAGTTAGTAGAGACTTGATGTTTTAAATACAGGTTCTCTTCTATCTTGTACCATATGCCTGTATTTAGAAATGGAGCTCCACATCCTGGAAATCATTCCAGACCTCTTTTTCATGCCGTATTTTCCCACTGCAATTCATGCCACGCACAGAAAAGAACTAGTTGTGAACATGGACTGCTCTCCTGAACCCCTCCAATTCACTGTTCTGCTTGTGAAGAGCTACTGCAGGCTCCACTTTTTCCTTAATAAACAAAAAATGGTTCAAAACTGCCTACAGGCTTCCTGTACATCATACTAGGCAAGATGACAGTGTGAGCTCAAATGATGTTGCTTTTGAGATAGCTGTCACCAGGCTGATGTGGGAATTGATTTAAGAGCATCATTCCTAAAGCATCATCAGATTTTGATTGTGTTTACCAAAACTAGACTAATTTTCCATCAATAGATATTGTGAAATATGTACATTATTTTAGGTTTGAATGAAAACGAACCTTCTGCATTTTGTTGGTAAGAAGTTTTTGTTTGGTTGATTGGTCTTTTGGTGGTTTTGGTGTTTTGCTCTTTTATATATATATATATATAAATATATATAATATATAATATATATATATATATTTTTTAGGAATTATTATTTTATTTTTTAATTTCTAAGTAATACAGGCTCCACTTGGAAGAGCTTGATTGATGTCTTGTCTTGCCCTGCAGGGGTTTCTGGAGGAAGTCTCAGTGAAAACCCAGAGAAAAACTTAGAGGCATGTTAGTTATGATAGAAATTAGTTAAAAAAAGATGTTTGTCTGATCATTTTCTTCTCTTGGATGTATTATGGAAAAAAACAAAGGCTTTGATTTTTGCCCATTTCCACTAGGTGGATCCCCTGCAGCTTCTGTGCTCATATGTGCTAGTAAGACATTCACTTTTGCATTGCAGATCTCATCTGCCTGTGCCAGTGCAGTGACAGACAACTGTAAATCTAAATGAGCACTGTGCAGCTTTGACCTCCATAGGGAACATTTTTTGGCTGCAGGTGCTGGGAGTGAAAAAAAGCCTTGAACTTCTGAGAAATTCTTGTTTCAAGGTGACTTGTAGCTGGAAAAGCTTCCTCTGCCCTCCTCCCGCTGAAGAACTGCAAGCCACCTGTAGCAAGAGAAAGGGATGTGTATTGGAGCAATCAGGAGATAAGGTCCATGCATTTTGGACATGAATATCGCTGATGAGGAAATCACTTCTAAACTGCCCAATTTACAGATAAATTATTCCTTTTTCAGGAATAATCTGTGAAGAATGGCTATACATGACTTCTCTGGGGGATGAGGAATGATAGGAACTCTTTTGTAGAAATTATATGGACCTTTTAAGCTGGTCCAGCACACAGAACCCTTTTGTTTCTGTAATTGTTACTATCCAAGTAAGAGAAAAGAAATGTATCTTTGGCTGAAAGAGAAAAAAAACTCAAGAGCTGCATCGTATTTCCTAGGACCTCTAACACCATAGCAAGAGTTGTCTTTCAATGCTGCTGCTGCATGGTTTAGTAGCTCTCAGATTACTGAGTGAGCCAGTCTGTTCTGCTGTAAATCTTACTGCACGTGAGCTGATACTGTTGGCAGATAATTAAAAGGAAAACATGCGTATAGAGCAGATATTTTTTAAATCTGTATTTGAAGTTTGCTTCTTTTTTCTCATAACTATATGGTATGTTATTTCTCTACTTTAGGAAGAATTTAAATGGGAAGTTTATTGGTAGAAATTGGTGGGTTTGATAATCTCTGATCAAATACTTTCTTTGGGGGAGAATTTTTATTATGTGTGGGAAAAAATAATAGAATATCCCAAACTGTGAGAAAGGATTCTTTTTTTATTAGAGTAACTTAAAAATTTGAAGATTTATTGTCTTTTTTACTATTTTTCAGAATAAATAAATATTTTTATGAGTTTTCAGCTAGTAATGTAGTTTATAGAAAATAGACATTGAGATAAAGACATAGTACTTTAAACATGAAAACTAAATCTTTCTGATTTACCACTTTTTTTTTTTTTTTTTCTTTTTCTTCTTTTTTTTCCCCCAAACATTCACTTTATGGAAATGTCAACTCTATCCAAATTAAAGTCAGGAAAAATGTTTGAAAATGCCTCTGTGGTGAGAAAACATTTTCCTGCCTAGCTCTGTTCTACTTATACATTAATACTGCCTGGCTCCCTTTGTTGGGTGTGGCTTTTTTGTCATTCCTTTATGAGAACTTGCATGGAAAATTAAAGCACACTTTCTGATTAGTTTAGGTCAAAACACACTGTCCCTCTCCCATTGAATCTAGCCAGGTTTTAACATAGATCCTAGTGGTGGGGACTATGGAGTTACAGATACTCTTCATGGAAACTCTACTTCTACAAAAGGTGCCTGTAGGTAAAAGCAGAGGCTGAAATGGAAGGTTTACACTGTGACTGCTCATGCTGGGTCTTTTCTGTAGTTTTTCATTCTGTAGATGTCAGTCCAGCCCCTTCAACTGAAGCTGAAAACATGATACATTAAACAAAACAAGTGGATTATAAATGGTCTGTGATTTATGGGTTGTCCTGGTTTGTCAGTTCTCACTGCTGTGAAGAACTTCTGGTATTTGCACAATGCTGTAAATTATTGCAGTGTGAGAGCATTAGTGAAGTGTTCTGCGAGCTGTGAAAGATCTCATTGCTGAGATTGTTTGTGCAGCCCAATAAACTGCTCCAATCTCCAGCCTGACAATATCACACAGCAGAGAAATGAACTTATTCTGAGGAAATACTGATTTAGGAAAAAAAAGAGGGAACCAGAAATGCCATGGGTATGTGGCTGCCTGGGCTGTGTGACTGTTTGGAGTGGTCTCTTAATTTCCCGTGTTAGAAACAGCAGTGAATGATTGCAAAGATCAGCTTATATATGGGCGGATGGAGGAGGAAACACTGTCTTCAGGGGGTTGACCTGTGGTTCTGGAGTGTAATAAATCAATTAATAGGGTGGGGTTTTTTTATTCATTTTTTTTTTTCCTCCCTTGTGCACAGCTAACGAGAGAACACCAGGTGGCCCTCTCCTCCATCACTTACATTGGCTGCTCTCTGTCCATCTTCTGCTTGACGATCACGCTGGTCACATTTGCTATACTGTCGTGAGTAATTTGAACTTTATACTTGTTGGGCAACTGTTGTGCAGAGAGTCAAGGAGTGCATTTCAGGCCACTGGTTAGGATCCCTTCAGGTGGCCGGGATAAAACAGAGGCTATTAATTCTACCACCGTCGTTAATGAGATTCTGCACATGTATTTGTAACAGTTCATTGGTTATTTCTAAATTACTTTAATTTTCTGAAATGGGGTGGTCTTTATATAGCAGGCTATTTCCATCCTATGAGAGTTTTTCAGATTAAAAAAAAAATAGTATATATATATATATATATTCTCCATGATTTGCTGTAGTTCAGGACTCTTTCAAGGAGGCTGTAGGAGGATTTGGTCTGGACCTCAAGGCAAATGTGATATGAGCAAGGACTGCAGGGTCACCCCCTCTTCTTCACCTGTATATATGTTTGGATTGTTTAGAGTATATGATCAGTACTGTTTGTTCCTTTTCAAATGTCTTGTCTGTAAGGCATTGGATTTATAAAGACAAGCAAGTTTGCCCAGAAAGGAAGGCTCAGTCAACATCAGCCATCTCACTTCTGTTTCATACAGCTTGTGCACAATTATATCATATAACCCACATTTTATTTTCAAGTATCCCACTGTCCTCTGTTAGGCTACTTTTCTACTGTGTTACTTTAGTAAGATGAAGAATGCTATAGGCAGTGTGAAATTCAGTCCATGGCTTATGTTTAAATCCTCTGGATCTCGGCAGAATCATGTCAGTAGCACAGCAGCACCTTTGAGGGCTCTTTGCACTGGGAACAGTTCTGCCACAAATCTGTATGTGTGTTTATATTCCTGTAGTGACAACTGAGAGTGAGGCCTGGCTAGGCTTGACATTTCTGAGAAAGATTTCTAAAACAAACATTTCTGAAAACATTTCTGAAAAAGATTTCATAGAGGTTTCTGTCTAAATGACAAAATTAAACACCTGACAAAAGGTGGAATAACTAATCCGAGGTTGTGCCGCAGATTGAGAGCACAGCAAGGAATTAGATTCTTGTCTCCTTGCACACACTAAACCATGTTATTCCTATTTAAGAGTTCAATTTTTAATTTCTGTGCCTAAGCATGTCTTTTGGACATCCTGTTAAGAGTTTCTAGGAAAAAAGGTCTTGCTGCAGCCCAGTAAACTGACTACAATGTTTGTTTGTTCCAAACCCTGTATTATTTCCAAGTCTCAAGACCTGTTGGTCATACTTGGATTAAGTGTGTAATGCATGGCAAAATCTTCTCTAAAGAAGTCCAATGTCTGCCTATCTGGCATTGCACTGTTGGCATGCTTAGGCTAAAGGGAATGATCTGCTTAATTTTTGTCTGAGAGCAAAACTGGATGTTACAGCATTTAGAAAGTAAAAGGGAGCAAAAGGAGCTGGTGTTGCTTCAGTGAGCCTGAAAACCTAAGAAACTGGAGGCAAACAGAAAACTTGGAAAGAGAGCTTGGACCCAGCTGACTGTTACAGGGTTAAGCACGCCACCTACACAGAGGATCATTCAAACTGCCAATTAAAAATAATTTAATTAGGTTCTCACTGGAGGGCAGGGCCTCATTAAACAGCTGAAGTGAAATTTTGCAATGTAGTGTTAGATGACCATGAGGTAAGTGGAGAGGAATCTGGCAAGTTCTTTGCTACTCCACATACTGGCAAGGACGGCCACTTCCCAGGAGGGAAGTCCTGATCGCCTTCTGGGTAACCATGTTCCAGTTTGAAACCACATGAAGTTCCTTATTAGAAAGTTGTTGGCACCAGGCAGCACAACCTGTCTCTTGGAATTACTTTTGGGACATTGATACTTCTTGTCTCCATCTTCACTCCCTTGCAATGGAGCTCTTGCTACAGCTGTGCTGGAAGAGCAAGGCTGACAGCAAGCCCTCATCTGCATTGTCCAGTATCCGTCGTCCTGCTGCAGGCAACACACATGATGTGTCACCAGTGGTTGCAAAAGCCATCACAGTCCAGCATGATACAATAAAGAGATGGGAGTGGGTACTGCTGTGTGAGGAAGTGCTGCCATTCACATAGTCAAACAGTCTAGGCCCCAGAGGCTGTCAGAGGGTTCTGAAATGTTCAGAGAAGCGGTTTTGTTTATTTTTTATTTTCTGTTTCTGGGTGAGAACAGAAACATGAGGGCAGAAGACTCCCAGGAAAGTAAGTTCTTGCTAGATTTTCAGTGCATTTTTGCAAAGTCAGAAGAGATTGTTTCAAGCGGTGTTGTAATCAAGGTCAGGTCCCTGACCAGACAGACACTGCCCATCTGAATAAGAAGCCGTAGCTCCTGTGGTCAAAAGCTGAGAACAGTAAAGTAAAAATTGTAACCAGAGTTTCTTCATGGTCCCTTATTTTTAATACAGGTGAATATCACCAGAATGAAACCAGAAACTCTGTGGTGTAGTGTGGGCTGGATGGTGCAAGGAGCAGTGTGTTTTCTGTGAGGTGCAGATCTGACTTCCTTCACAGCTCAGCATTATTCAGGATCAAGCCCTTTGTTAATATTGTATCACAAGTCATTAGCAGAGCTAGTTAATATGCAAATCAGTCTTCCTGCTGCCTTCAGGACAGCAGCAGAATTTGCAAGAAACTATTTAGTTACCACTCCATCCTTGTGGAAGGACATCATGACAGCCCCACAAAGTGAGTGACCAAAAGCTAATCACAGTGCTTGGTGATCAATCAAGAACACGTTCATGCTCCTTGGAACGCTGTTTCATTCATGTGTCTTTCTATCCCCTGCCAGGTCTGTCAGCACCATCCGCAACCAGCGTTATCACATCCATGCCAACCTGTCCTTTGCTGTCTTGGTGGCTCAGATCCTGCTCCTCACCAGCTTTCAATTCAGCCCTGGGACGGTAAGTGCTAGGAAGAGTGATTGTGTTCTTTGTGAGGCATCTCCATGGAATGAACACGTGCCATATATAAGAAAGTGTCTAGCATGCAAGATCTTATATTTTCAACATGCCTTAGCCAGAAATTACACTCTACAACACTGGATAAAGCCTTCTGTGCATCCAAGTAGTGTTATCATAGTATCCAGATGTGTCTGGATGTTTGCAAAAGCGAAAGTGATGCTCACCTACCAAATGGAAAAATGGCCATTGCAATGTAGTACATTTCAGTGCAGTGTTCAAATCACACGGCTGGCTGATGTCTGCCTGGCATGGCTGGTGTTTTCTCTCATCCATTCTCTGTATTGAAAAAACAGGAACTCTGCATTGGAGAAAAGTGTATGAATTTTGTATTTAGGTGAGGTATTTGTATTTCTGTTAGAGTTTTAGGTTAGGTTTGGTTGGTTAAGTTGGTTGTTGTTTTTTTTTTTTCAGGGGGACAGGTTGGGTTTTTTAATTGCCTGTTATCTGCTGTGGTGCAGTTTGTCCCTTTTTTTTCCGCATTAAAAAGTAATTTGATTCCTGTTGGAAGGTAATGAGCTTCTTGATGAAGCTGTGACAACTTCTGCTTTCCTGAAAAGCAAAATAGAAGGTCTTTGGTTTTTTGCTCATAAAGTTTAACTTCCATGGTAGAATACACTGCTTTTCTGAGCAGCAGATTTATTGACTGTGTTCTGTACTCTGGAAATTTAGATTATTTTAAAGTATCTTCATGTTTATTTGACCTGACCAATAATCAATGAGAAAGGTATAGCAACTATTGCTTAATTAGCCAGCAGTGGCAGAAACATTACCTCTAAGTATTGCTGCATAGGAGTTTAAGCCAAGATCCTCAGAATTGTAAAACATGGGTACACTTCCCTGGGCATCTAAGGCAACCACTTAATCAAATGAGAAACACCTTAATATTGCTTACATGGTACTTGAGCTCTGTGCATGGATAAGCTGCTTCTGCCTGATCACATAGACTGAACTTGAAATTACAGATTGATCTTATGGATCTACCACTGCAGGTGGGAATTCCTTAGGCAGAGTAGCAGGATCTAAACCATTAAAACTGGCATCTGAAACAGCTGGGTTAGATTAAGACAAATATGCCAAGCTAACAGTATTAACATACCAGTAAAACTAATTTGTTTCCACTGTTGTGTTTAAAAAAATGTGTTTAGAGTAACATAAAGTCTGTTGATGGGAAGTCCTACCTGCAAAAAGGAGAAATAAAACCTGATTTTAAAATAATCTCCCAGTGTGCTCTGTTTTTGTAATGGTCAAAACCTGGCTACCTTGATGACTGCCTGTTGCTACATATAACTTTTGACAAACAACAAACAGCATCTATTAATCTTTTATTCTTTTTATTCTCAATACAAGAAGTTAGGAGGTTTTTATACTCTTCATTTTGTGAATAAAGCAGCTACTTAAATTTATATTCAGCTCAACTGGGATCCCTTGAACTTCTCTTAAGTTTATAAATAACAAGAATATCTGGTTGTACATTGGCTATTACCTGAAGAACTAAAAACACTTTGTAAGACTAACTTGGTATTCTGTTTAACATTCAGATGGGCACCAACAGTGTTTTTCCAGCACAACAGGAAAATTTAATGTGTTTGCTATTTGCAATTCTACATCAGTGTATTGAGGTGTTTCTCACTCAGTACTCCTGCCTGGCATTGTTTAAAACCCCTCCAAATAGAAACATGCAATGAGCTACTTTTATTTATGATATATGTATCTGCAGAAATTAAAAAATGTATATCAAAGCAGCACACAGATTGCAGGGAAGGACCTTTTTAGTCATTTCTATACAATGTCGTAAGATTGCCACTTAACTGGGAAACACTATTACAAGTGGAATTTAGAAAATATATGCAAATTTACTTCCCTGTTTTAAGACTGTCCTCAGGAAACAAATCACTTCCTTTCTGTGAAGGCTTTCAGAGAGTCTGCTTTACTTTCTCACCAACTGTAACATGGTGAGTCTTGCTACTGCCTTGACTGATTTTTCTATTTCCAAAGTCTCACAAGTAGTCAGCTGTAAGAGCAGCAGTAATGAGATCTGTCTTTTTGGAGGTATTCTGCTAAAAGTGGTGTGCATCATATGTTACAGCAAGGGACACCTGCTTGTTTTTAACACAAAGTCTCAGTGCCTCTTCTATCCCTTTTTCTAGAAGGCAATTCTGCCATTTAAGAGTACCTTCAAAGTCATAATGCACAAATACAGAATGAGTAGCAACTTCACTGTGGATTTTATATAAAAATCTGCAAATCAGTATTATACAAAATTATACACAGACCAGCCTCCTACTCCCTTCAACCATGTTTTCTTGTTCTGCTGTTTTGTGACTCACATTGTTTGGCTACTCACAAATTGGAAAGTATCCATTTGACAGAACTAGCTTGTAAGCCAGCTTTATGCTGCATTTATATTTTTGTGAACTGATCTGGTAGAAATCAAAAGGCATTACAATGGATTTCACAGCCTTATGATAAAATTAACTGGAACAGTTTTCACAGTTTTTGTCAATAAGCAAATCTGCTTTAGTTACATGTCACCAAACATTGTGAAATACTAAAACACTTACAGATGTCACTGGTATGAATGAAAACCAGAGTTATTGCTTTTTAATATATGTAGTCACTGTGGATTTGCATTAGAATGCCCTTGCACTGGCACAGAACCATCTGAGCACCAGTAAGAAGGTATCAGAAAGCTTCAATTTTTGCATTACTATCAAGTCCCGATGTTTTAAATTTCATTAGTGTACAAATTCCAAAACCATCAACAAAAGAATAAAATGCCAACACAGGGCAGCTAAGCTAATGCAACAAAGGGAACTAATGATTAATAACTGCAAACCACTGTGGCAGCAAACTGGTTCCTACTGGTAATGCTTCCTTGGCACACAAACTCCACCTGCCTGGAAACCTTACTGTGACTTGACAAGGTGAGAGTTGGAAACCTTGAAGAAAATGAACCAAAAAGTCTTTCCCTTTGCACAGACTGCACAAAGCAACCCCTCTGAAATTCTGTAGGTGTCACAGAAGGGATGTTGAAATACAGAGCAGAATGACCATCATCAGTGTGCTACAAGATGTGAAACTGAGATATAGCTGGGAGTCGTTCCAAGAGCATGTTTTAAATGTGCCTTAACTGAAAGCAAACCAAAGAAGGTTATCTTGTGGTGAGATAATTGACAGCCACATCTGTTCAATTGCTGTCTGATGAGCAAAACGACTCGTGGTGAGACATCCTCGAAAAGCAATTAGTGGGGAAAGGAGAATGTGCCTTGTGACTACGTGAGGCATGGGGAAAAAGGAAGGATTAGGTTTTCCTGTAGTGAGGCAGGCTGATAGGAGACTTAGAGAAAAACTTAAAGATATCTTTGTAGAACAAATTAAGGAGAAGACAGATCTTAAGCTCAGACTGCATTTCCAGTAGCCCACAGTGGGCCACAAGGACTGAGGCTAGTGTAGACTTAGTAATGGCACTCCTGTCTTTTTGGGCAGTATTTGTTTTACTTCGAAACATGTTGTTATTTAAATTGGAAAAGATAGTCCAGTTTTCACCAGGTGGGCTCACTTTATAGATGGTATTTTTTCATTGCTTAAACTTCACTTTTTGTTCCTGTTACCTGATTCTTGATAGCACATAAATGACTACAAAGGAGTATTTGAATTGTCTGTAAACATCCTACAGAGTTTTTCACTTATTTCCTTAATCACTAGCTGTGTTCTTGTCAAATATTTCTTCATATACAGCTGGTACATATGACTGTGGGAAACTGAGAATTCAAACAGGTGAGCAAACTAGATGCCCACCACAGACCAATTAGGACACAAGAGCCAGTGATAGCTTGCTGTAATTTTTTAAAATGTTTATATTAGTATTACTGATGGAGGAGCATAGGAGACACGTACAGAATTGCTAATCAGGAAAGACAGACAATGGAATACAGTGTAATTTAAATTGTATGTTATCCTATTTTTAATATGAAAAATAGCAAAGCAGGAAAACCACACCGAGGGTGGGAGACCTGTACCCCCACTTCTTTGACTCTCCTGTATTTACTGCAGGCTCAGCAACAGGATGTCAACCCTTCAGTTTTGAGCTCTTAAACAGTCTGTAGACTTTAGTAGGAGTATTGCTCCTACTATCATAAATACTCAGTTTGGATTTCCACATTGAATTTGTCCATGTTTGTTTTTTTTGCTAAAAGGTAAGAGGCTTTGTTACTCTGAAGCTTTCTGACAATACTGTAAGAAAAATTAAAATCTCTAGTGCCTTGTTTTTGAAGACTGTTTTGCTCCATTGATTTAGCATTTAACATGTAAAGAAGAAAATCAATAAGAAATATAGAAGAAAATCAAGAAGAAATCAAGAAGAAAACAAGAAGAAAACTGGAAAACAAATAAGACTGCATCACAAAGGAGTAATGTATTAATTTTTGTTCTTAATCTAGGTGCCGTGCAAGATCTTGGCTATTCTCCTACATTTTTTCTTCTTGAGTGCCTTTGCCTGGATGCTTGTGGAGGGATTTCATCTTTACAGTATGGTGATCAAAGTATTTGGGTCAGAAGAGAGCAAGCACTTATATTATTACGGAATTGGGTGGGGTAAGTGTTTAGTGTCTGCTTGCTTGAAGTCTTCTCACTGTAGGACAAGATTATATTCAGAAGCATATGTAAAATTGTCACCTTATGGTCACAGTTTGCCTTACTGAGTGTATGTTTGTGGGAAAAGACAGTTAATATTTTTTCTGACTGTAATCAGACTGTAGAATGTACATTCCCTAAACCTAAACCCACTGCAGTAAATGCCATGTCCTCACTAAGACAGATCAGATCCTTAATTACCAAATCAATAGCAGGAGTGTGGGAGAGAGGTCTCACTGCAATGATAGGTTCTTTTTTTGGTTCTAACTCACAGCACTGGCTTATATTATCTGTACTCTGCAATTCATACATAAGAAATTGGTGCAGAATCACAAGACCTCATTAGCTGATGTTTTTTGCCTTAGATGATAAAGTCTGTACAGAATCTCATTTTTATTATTAAGAAAAAAAATAAATTAAAAAAAGTAGTCTTATGACACAGGAATCTCACAGATAACAATTCACAGCTTTTTTAATGCTGTGATGGAAGTATAATCCATGTGCATATCGAGGACTCAAAACTGAGTATGTTGTTCCAGACTCTTCACAGCATATGAAAGCTACTTTGCTTTCACTGTTCTGGCAGCACAGCAATGGTGCTTGACAAACCTTCACATTTAGAAAAAGATTAAAACCTCATTCTTTGAGTCAAAAGGAGAGATGTAAAAAGCTAGAAAAGGAATATCCATGCAATTACAGATAATTTCAAAATAATGTAGCACATGCATTATCTTTATCCCCAAAAATTCATTTGGAAGCTGAAAGAAGACAAGTCACTCCAATAATACAGACCTACTGAAGTCATAATTGGAATATTTAATACCTATTGGCCCCCTCCAGATCTTGGTCATATTAATGCTCTTCATATATAAATATTTCAACAGCTGCCTACTTTTTTTTTTAAATAGAATCATAGAATGGCTTGAGTTGAAAGGGACCTTAAAGATCATGTAGTTCCAACTCCCATGCATAGCCAGGGACACCTCCCACTAGATCAGATTGCTCAGGATCCCATCCAACCTAGTCTTGAACACTTCCAGGGATGGGACTTCCACAGCTTTCCTGGGCAGCCTGCTAAATGTAGAGAAATCTGCTGATGTTAGAGAAGTTTGTTGTGTATTTATTTAATACAGAGCTCATGGAATACAAATTCAAGTGGACCAAACCAAAGAAAATGTTCTCATAAGCCCTTGAGGTCTATTTCTCCTTCAGAAATACTATTTAAAAAGCCCCAACAGTTAATAAAATAATAAGAACTGGCATTTAATTCACTGGGGTATTTTCTTACAGCAGATGCTTTGATTAACTCCATTTACAATAAAGAATTAATTGCCTTATGAAAATAAACTAATGATTTAGATGTGCTGCTATTTACCTTTGCCCTTTTTTCTGCCATTTTGTGTAAGGTTTGTTTATTGTAAAAAAGCAGTGATTGACAAAGGAACTAAGAAGACAAAAGGATAAACATGGCATCTGACTGCAACATGACTAATATTAAATGTTGCACTTTACCTCATTTTATTGCAAGATGATTGCTACAACTTGATTAGTAGTAATCAGCACAATGAGTACATAGCCTGTTGGTACATCACCAAATGGTTACTAAAAAGTCTCTTCAGGGTTATTTTAAGTTTGCTTTGGACAGCAATCCCTCAGGCTCAGCAGTAGGTATTTCTCATCAATATAGATGTACATCCAAAATGCAGGAGTCACCAGCAAGTAGAAGTTTCTGTATCTTCGCAATGCTCTTCTTGGCAAGGGTTGTGTAAGAAACCCAGTACTAAGCTCTGTTTCTTAACTGTAGCAAAGGTACAGTTGGAGTGAGATAGTGGAAGACATCACCAATGTAGTATTAAAATATTTCTCTATGTAAACCTTTCAAAAGCCCTTTTTTTTTTGACAGATTATTTTAATTTTGGAAAGTGTGTTCCAACTATTGTTCCTACAAGGACTTAAGGATAAAAAAAAAAGTTTTCTGAAATCCAGTAAATCTACCATGTTTCTGGGAAAGCAGTTTGTATTTGGATTTTTTTTAAAATATAGCTTAAAGTATTTACATTTGAATAAAATACTAAACTTCCTTAATCATATCTGACATCATGTCTTTGCTGCAAGTGTGTTTAAACATCCCTCAAGTAATTTAACTTGGCAATTGCATTCCAAATTATTTATCTTTTGATAAGTATCAGGGTAATAGATGTTACTGAATAATGATGCTTTTAAAGAGAAAATCCCTATTGCAGTGTTCATTACTTAAATGCTTAAAAGAGCACCCAAGTTTGTCAGTTCCCAACTTTCTCTTTTGATAGCAAACTGACACTGAATATGAAAATAAGTTATTAATTAGAGATTAAGCCTCAGTGCTGCCTTCAGCAGCAGCCTGTGCTCATGTTCTGCAGGGCAGAGTTTGGGTTATTCCTTTGTGAAATTGATGAAAGTACAATAAAGGGAATTTACATATATTCCATAAAATTCCCACAGTGAAACAGAAATTTTGCAAAGCTGGGGAAAGAGGCTAAAAAGATTTTGTCCTAAAATTATTTTATTTGGCTTTTAAAATGGGGGTAAGTTTGGATTGAATGCAACTGTCAAAAGGAAGCAGAGCATTCTTGTGCCATCCATAACAGATATACTTTCTCCAGTATCTAATAAAAGTGAGCAGGTTTTTATACTTTGGCTTACCTAATTATTATACTGAGTAAGATGGTTGAAAGAAGTTGAAGGAACGAATGTCTCATCTCATGTTAGTGAAGAAGTGTGAATGCATTTGCCTTTTGTGCAAACTCTTAGTTCCTGGAATAACGAGAAACCCCAGTCCTGAATTAAAAAACCTAGACCTGTCATTCTTATTTAAGCAGAACCACTGGGCTAGATATATGTTAAAAGTTTGCAAAGCCTATAGTAAGGACAAGTTGAAACTTGAAGCAATAAGAGATGTGGACAAGGAACTCCACACTATCACTGACAGCCTAAGATCAGTGGGATTTCTGAGAGACACTAACTCCTATAAAATGAATTCAACAGTAATCAGAGAGACAGGATATGGGAAGAGCTGATTGAAGTTCCTGTGATTATCTTTAGTCCCAAGGGTGCTAAAATTACCTCAAAGACTTCAGTTGTCAGGAATTCAAAAGAAGAGCAATTTGAGGAAGGTGATAATATCCTTTAAAACCACCTTGAGACTGATTGGGGGGAAAAAATACTTTGTTGCCTGGATGATTCAGCATAACACACACACAGATTATTGTAGCAAAACTTTTTGCACCCACCTATTTGTAGGATGCTGATGACAGTTTGTGATATTGGAGATCTTGCTGTGGCATTTTTGCCTTAACATGTTTCCCTATTTCAGACAATATCCTTTCCTTTAGAGACTGCCTTAGAATGCGGATTTTGTTCTGAGCTGTCAAAAGACCTGAATTTCTTTATTTACTCTTGCTTGATGTAGTCCTAGGCTTCTGCATAGATACTATGAAACACAGCAGAAGAGAATCACAGAACAAAATCAATGGGAGAATATACTTTTCCCAGTCATGCAAGGTAGATCTTTTCAGTATTTGGAAGCGAATATACTTTCATTTGGGTCTAATGCTTCATCTTTTTCAATAAATTGCACATGTAGCCTTTTAGAATTAATGTGCTAAATTTGCTTTGAATTGTCTGCTGCAGAGTGTCTATTGTTAATAGGCTTCCTGTGCCAGGTATGAAGAGTTTCTGCCTGCTCTGCTGCCTATATTTTGATGCTGAGCTGGGGAGGTAGCTTTAAATTATCTGGCTTGGGGAGCTGGAGTACTGGAGCTGCAGCAGCACAGGGCTCCATATGGACTGATTTACACCTTTTGAATTGATACTGCCTTGCTCTAGGACCACGAGGACACAGGTGACACCAGTGCCATAGATCAGCTACCAGAAAGGTGTGCAAAAATATTTTCATCTGGTGTTATGCTCTGGAACGCATGGTCTATTGCATCATAAATGTGGTGATTTGGAGTAGGGTTGGTGAGTGTATTTGTAACCTCTGCTAACTGAGAAAATATTCAGATACAGTAAAACCCCATAATAATAATTCTGTCACGCCTGATAACCAGTGCCAGCACATTAACATTACCTAACTAAACTTCACAGCTCTTGTGTAACTATTACTGACAAAAGATTAAGCAAACATTCTTACTGTTGTGTATAATATATAATCCATATGAATTCTTCAGTCCATATAAAATCTTATGATCCCCTTAGCCTAAATATGTTTTCTTCTTTTAACCCTAAGGGATTTATTGAATGGTTGATTCTTAAAGGGAAAATGCTCCAGTTTTACTGTAACAAAACCTTGATTCCATTGCCATCTACCATTTGCTATATTGTTAGTGCAAAGAAAAGGCAAACATTGCACTACAGACTGCAGACCATTTTACTCTCACTGACTTAAGAGCTCTTTTTATGCAGATGAGTGTTCTATGTTTCATTTGTGTTTTATTATCTTCCAAAGGAATTCTGTATTTAATTTTCTTCTTCACTGCCATATAAAATTGATAAAGAGTCATATTAAATCCTTTGAATATCCAGCCTTTGACTTGGAAAGAAAAAGGCAGCTGAGCAGTATGAAAAAAGAGCTAGTTGCACCACACAGGTATTTTTGCTTTTGTGACAAAGTCCCTGCTGTGGAAAGACAACTTGCATCAGAAGACACACAGTGCCAATCAACGATGCCTGCTCAGCAACTGAGGATGTGATGGGGAATGTGTAGACTTGCCTGTGGGACCTTTAGCCCAGGTAGCTCACATACCCATGGCAGACTGAGTTTCAGCAGATAAACTTATGTCTGTGCTTAATTGCTCTGTTGGATATAATTACTATTGTTTGAATGTGTGTAGGAATCTCCCTTCTTAACTAGACAAATGTGAGAGTAAACTAAAATTTGGTCTTTGCTTAGGGATTACACAAATATTACTTCTAAGGAGTTATTGCTGATTTGGACAAGCATGGGAGAGCAGAATCAAGTCAATGGAATATTAAACTCCATTATGCAGATTTGATTTCAAAGTCTAAGACTTAAACAATGCCTGAAGATGCTGCTGCTTAACTACTGAATATTTTTTTTATAAATACAAGGTGCTTCTAGCCAAACTTATTACAGAACAAAAATACTTCTTCAGGAAATTATAGTTCTGTCATTACAGGAAATTTTTACAGAATTTTATGGGGAAAATTTTATTGGTAAGATTAAGCAGAAATTGCTTGTCAGAGGATTTTGTAAAGTCTCATGCAGAAACTTTGAAGAATTTAAAAGAAAATTGAAACTTTAAGCTATCATTCATAATACTCTGTCTGGGACCTGGTTATTAAATTCCATGAGATGATAAAAACCCAAACCTTCACATTTTATTAAATCATGCAGGAATTAACAGACAATAATTTAATATTTAGAGGGATGAAGTTTTACTATATTCAGAGCTATTGGCAAGAAAAAACCTCACTTCCTCTCCCTCTCCTGGCCTGGAAAGCTGAGCTAAAGTGACACAGCAGGGTCTGGCAGTGTTGGGGACCATGGAGTGACAGCTCCCCCAACAGCAGAGCTGTAATTTGCCTTTGTGTAATTCCTGTGTAATCCCATAAAGCACTCCTCTGCCTCCCAGGATGCATGCAGCACACTGGAACTGTCAAAACCCATCTGGAAACAGAATCTACTTGAAACAGAGAAATCGTGTAGAGCTATTACATATTGATCTTAAAATGAGTCTTGGCTGGGCATCTGAGTGGGATCTGAATTTGCTTCTGTCTTTTCTTAACTGTCTCTTGCTGGTGATGCGGTCAACAACTAAACGTTGCCATTTCTGTCCTCTCTCCTGCTAGTCTCGCAGCCCTGTGAAAGACTCAACTTTGTTTTCTGGTTTGTTTTGAATTCTTGAACGAGGTGCACTTACCTGGGGGGGAAATGATTAAGCTAAGCCTGATCCCGCTCCACAGGAGAGCACTGCTTGAATTACAAGAGACAGAAATTATACAAACAAAAGCCAGGCTGAAAAAGGACTATGCTTCTCAATGAAACTAGCACTAATTCAGTTTAATTGTTAAACTAGTGCTTTAATGAAAAGTAATTTTATTTATCTGACATTAATCGATTAAAACATGATATATTACACAGCTGCAGGAGGATGTTGAGTTAGACTTAATTCTAAAATTACTCTGAGCTGTTCCATTGTCCATGTGAAATGTAGCTGAACTTGTCTGGAAAACACACTAATACTGCCACAAACTTTGCCTTTTTGCAGGCTGCCCACTGGTGATTTGTGTAATTTCTACAACATCGTCCCTGGAAAGCTATGGAGAAAGTGGCAAGTAAGTATGGAAAAGTCATTCCAGGTACAATAAGGATGAAAAATCTGATGAGGAAAAGCAATGGTAAATTTGTTAACAGAGCCATAGTCCTACAAGATCCTGCTGACGAGCAGTGGAGGCAGCCTGGACAAACCAACTCTTGTGTGGGGCTGTTTTCAGACCTAGAAGCCTCAGTTTTGCTTTTCACTGCTGAGGTGATGCTCCTGAGACGTTTTGCCTGTTTTTCCCTTTTGCTGCAGAGGCACAAGGCCTCCTGCAATGAGCTCCCTGCTTATTTTTCACAGAGAAGAAAGTGCAGGCCGAAACGTTTCTAACATAATGAGAATAATCTTTGATTAAGGGCATTTAATCTTTTGAAGAAAACTGCAGTTAAACATTTGAAGATCTAGAATTAATGTTGTTACAAATTTTGAAAACTAATTTTCTTTCTAATTTGTAAAAAGAAAATTTATCTGAGAAAACACCTTAGGGTTCAGTTCTATCATAATGTAAGCAAAGGATGTGGAGCAAGAGTTATATTTTGTGTGTGGTGAACTAGCTTGTACTGTCACTGCTGCAGGAAAGACTTGTGAAGTTGACAATGTGTTTCCCAGCCAGGGAAGGCAGGGAGGGCTCCAATTTGTCTCCTGCTACAATGACAGGACTCGTAGCACTGAAATGAGTGCCTGAGATACAGGATAAAGGAACAACAAATAATAAATAAAACCTTTCCTTTCATCCCATATTTCTGCCCCTAATGCTATTGGAAGGCATGCTGGGGCAGAAAGCTGTCACTGACTCTCTGTAAGATACAAATCAAAATGAGATCTTGCCTCAGATTCCCTGAGCACAAAGGAAAACAGAGCTTCTTATTGATGCTCTATCATATCTCTTGCTTTTATATTTCATTGGTCTTTTTACACTTTCTTTTTAAAATTAAGAACATTAGTAATTACATGACCGTGTGTTTAATCTAAAATCATTCTGATTTTTCTCTGCAGCTGCTGGCTTTCACTGGAGAATGGAGCAATCTGGGCTTTTGTGGCACCAGCACTGTTTGTAATTCTGGTAGGTAAACCCACTACTGCTAGGTTTTTTTGCAGGTCTGTCTCTGCCACAGCAGAAGTAGCTGAAGGTCTCATGTCAGGCCTTGTGCCAGGCCAGTAGAACCAACTGAATGATAGAGACGAACGATCCAGAATTATTTTGTGTATTGTGTTGTGCATTCTCTCACTGTTAATTTCACTTTTCTGAGACAAAAATACAACCTAAACTTTGGGAGATCCCTCTCCTGAAACAGCCTTGTTGGGACCATTACTAACTGCATAGAATTGGGTAATCTTGAGAGCTTTAAGAATTCTCAAGAAGATCTCCCAAAAGAACAAACTCTGTGGCTTGTGTTTCCTATATACCATTGAAATCTGAAAGGCTGATTCCACCGCATTGGAAATTGAAGCTTTTCCTTATAGAGGGCTCACTTTCCTCAGTGAAGCTGAGTGTTCTCAGTGAACATCATCATGGGCAGAGTTTGGAAGC